TCATACTCCAGTGGGAACATATGAGCTTTATCTTAACTGGTGACTGTGAGCTTCAAAATGAGATCATGTGAGCTGCTTTGTCATCTGCTGGCACTCCCCGTGCTGCTCTGCTCTGAATGCTCCATAGGAAATGCTTTTTGCTGTGGGTGGGAGGAGGTAACGGCTGAGAGGCCTCTTGCAGCCTCCAGATCTTTCCATGAAAAAATATTCCATAGTGAACATAAAGCTGCAGGTGCCCCTGGCTGGCCAGCTGGCAACGCTGCTCCTGGAAATGGGATTCAAATGAGCCCAGCACAGCTGGGAGAGCCATTTCCTTCAGGCAGCTACAGCAGGGCTGTGCGAGAGCCAAGAACATCTTGTCCTGCTAGGAGAAAATGTATAAGCTCCCTTCTAGTTTGGGTTGTGGTTTTGGTTTTTGTTGTTTTGGTTTTTTTTTTTTCCTTTGTTTCTTAAAGCAGCTTTCTCCATAACCCTTCTTTATAGGTTGGCTGGATATTTACTGATCTGGTCTCTGAAGACACACGGAAAGGGACTGTTCGGTACAGCAGGAACAAGGTGAGGTTCGAGTGTGCAGCTAATTCCAGCTGCTGGTTCTGAGGGTTTGGGTAATCACCCACTCTGTGCCAGCAGAGCACTGAGCCAGGGCAGCTCAGGGCTGGAAGTGACGCTGGAATTCTTGTAAAGTGGGTTGGTTGTTTTGTTTTTTTTCAAAAGCTTCAGAAGGAAAAGAAGCTTGAGGTCAGAGAGCACTGCAAGGGTTTGGAGCCGTTGGGGTGAGGCTCAGGGCTGCCTGCAGCCCCAGCCCGCCCTGCTGGAGCACAATGGTGCTTGTGGATTAAGAAAATCCTGTCAAGGGAGGGAGTGGAGTGGTGTGAGGTGCAAACTGAGTGAGCAAAAGTGACTCAGAGGATGTTCCTGTGGGCAGGGCTTTGAGGCCTGAGTCCTCTGTCTTTGGCCTTCTCAGCTTCCTGTAATTGTGAAATCCCTGATATCCCTGTTTGGAAACTGAAACTTTCTTTGAAAAAAAAAAAGGTGTGTAAAGGTGGGTGGAACCAGAAGTGAGAAGAGTCCTGCCAAGAGGCTCTCGGGGCTGGGGAGCTGACATGTCACATTCTTTTCCCAGTCTCTGGAGCAGCTTTCCACGAAAGCTTGTTCCACCAGGGTGTTGGTAGTTTTCTTTGGCTGCAGACCAGGGAAATAGGTCTGGGCTACGTCGCGTTGTCCTTTGTATTGACATTGCTGCTCTTCCCTCAGGACACGTATTATCTCAGTGCAGAAGAGTGCATCACAGCTGGGAACTTTCAGAACCAGCAGCCCAACATCTGTCGCCTTTCTCCAGATGGTCATTTTGGATCCAAGTTTGTCACAGTTGTGGCTACAGGTATAAACTGGCCTCAGCTCTTGTGGTTGCACATGAGTTGTCTCTTGTTAATAAAAGAAGAAAATGCAGCTCTGCCAGAAGAAGTCAGACTTCCTGGTCCCCATCTGCCCAGTTGAACAAGGGGTTTGTCTTGCTCTGTTAAGGAAAATACTTTTCCATTCTTTGTGCTGTCTTCCCTACAATTACTCAGCCTTTCCCTTGCAGAAAACTTCACTGAGGCTCAGACCTTGGGCATCCCCCACCCAACCCAGGAAGCATTTTTTGCCTGCAGGGAGGGGTGTCACTGCTGCTCCCTTTTCTGTTCCCTGTCTTGAAGCTCCAAAAGTCCCTTGCCTGAAAGTGGCAGTGCAGAACCACAGCAACCCTCAAAGTTACTCTGGCTGGTTCAGCATCAAGGAGGGACCTTTCTCTCCCTTGTGTGGCTGTCAGGGAAACCCTGACGTAGGATGCTGTGCTCTTCCATGCATGGAAACCTGGGTTGGGTGTTTGGTTTTTTTGTCTGCCTGAACCAAACAGAGCAGCCAGAAAAATGCTGTGTTTTGTCACCTCTGCTGGGAGCTGTGCTCACTGTGAGTCTCCAGAGGCCCCCTGGGGTGGTCTGGGCTGCCAGGGCAGATGTTGGCATGTGCCAGGACAGTCAGAGCCTTAGCAGTTCAATCAGCCCTTCTCCACAGGGTGACACATGTATCCATTTAAAATTCCCCTGGAGCAGATAGGCTGGGTTCTGGGTCTGTTTAACACAATGAAAATAACGCAGGACTTCCAAAGAGCATCCAGTGTGAAAACTGAAAGTGTGATCTTGTGCTGCCTCCTCTGAGCCCAGTTTTGTAAGCATTCCAGAGCCTTTTGCAGTGAAAACTCTCTCTTTTTGGTTAACAGACCCGAGGAAGCAGACACTGCCTCTGCATGCCAGACTGCTCAACACATCCATCTTTCATTAATGATAATGTCTGTCTCACTCACTTTTTTGTATGTATTTCAGTCTTCTGGTTTTTTAAACAAGGTGTTCTGCTGGGAACACGATGACCAGCTTTGTTCAGGCCTTGCCTGTGTCTTGGTCTGTGTTTACTTTCTAGGAGTATTTGTTCTGGAGCTGTGAGTGATTGAGGTTAGAGATCAAAGGGTAGAAAACGAATATTTCCTCTTCTCTGTTCCAGATAATTTCATTCTCTTCTGTTAAATTACCCCATCAGGTTTCTATTTAAACACTTGATTCCTTCCTTTTGTGCTGTATAAATATATTTGGATAGTTTGCATCAACTTTGCCTTTAAATCCTCTACATGGATTAATTCCTATCCCCTCCTGAATTCCTAGGTTTGGAAATAGTAACATTTTCCTACCATCTGTCTCTATCTTCTCTTTCCAGTTGTATTCTAATGACATATGACCTGATGTTGCTTACATTATGCAAATGAAAGTGCCAAGCATGTGATCTATCAGTGAGCCAGGGTCTTAGTTTCTACTTTCCATGTCAGATTTCCAGCAAACCATCCATTACAGGCCGAGAAAACGCTTTTTAAGCCTGACATTAGGAGGTGACCAACCCTGAATCTGCAGATCAGGGTTCCTTGGAAATCAAACAGGCCCACAGGAGCTGTGTGCCTGGTTTTTGTTTGGAAAGAGAGGAGGGACCTGTGGGGTGATGAGAGGCTGATGCTCTCAGGAGCCTCCTCTGAGCTGCTGGCAAAGTGCTGTTGCTGCAGGGGTCTGTCCTGATAAGCTAGCTGGGAAAAATGTGTGTTAATAAATACATGTAGAGCTTGGAGGGGGGTTCCTGCCTCCAAGCACTTCCCAGGAGTTTACGCGTCGCTGTTAGCGAGACCGTCACGTGTGATGCTCTCCGAGTGGTGCCTCTTGGAGTTACACCAGGCACATGGCTCCCATGGGGGATTTTGAACCAGCCTCTTCTCTTCCAGGTGGTCCCGACAACCAGGTCCACTTCGAGGGCTACCAGGTCTCCAATCAGTGCATGGCTCTGGTCCGGGATGAGTGCTTGCTGCCCTGCCGGGACGCGCCGGAGCTGGGCTACGCCAAGGAGTCCAGCAGTGAGCAGTATGTGCCTGATGTCTTCTACAAGGTAAGGGCTGCCTGCCTGGGGAGGGGAGAGCTGCAGGAAACTGTGGTGGCTTAAGAACGGATGTCATTGAGGTCTGGACTGTTTTCAGTAGTCACCACTCACCATGTGTCTGTGCAGCAGTCACAAGGGATCTGTTTCCTCTCCTAAACCTGCAGTGCAGTAGTAGCCATTGGCTACCCAGCTTCTTGGGGGCTGGACTGGATGATCTCCAGAGGTCCTTTCCAACCCTTAACTTGTGATTCCAAGCAAGGTCTGCAGTAATGCACTGAGAGCTCCCAAATCCACCTGCTCCTCCCTCTCTGCTGGCAGCATTTGCTGGGCTCCTCAGAGAATTTGAATCCCCAGCTGAGTTGAGCTCCCTCCCTTCCACAGCCACATGATGTCTCCCAGCACAAATGGGGACAGTGACAGGTTCCTTATGCTGTGCCAGGGATTTGCTGGGCTGGGACACTCTCTTGGGCACCAGCCGAGCAGCAGATGCAACAGAAGATGAGCTTGGTCCTGCAGCAAGAGGAGAGACAGCCCCGTACCTGCTCCCTTCATGGAAGGGAAGATGTTCAGAGCAGGACCATGGTGTGTGAGCTCTGCTGGTGACCTGCCTGCTCTGGGTCTGGGCAGTTCCTTAGTGACAAGGGGACTGTCCTTATTCCCCTGGCAGCTGTTTCTGGAGATCTTCAGACCTACCCCCTTCTACCTACAGGGTTGAGTTAGAAGCCTGGGGACAGGATCTTTGCAGAGGCTCATGGCACTGCTTCCCAAACGTGTGCATCTTGGTGCCCCGTGAGCAAGGACAGAGGAATTAATTAATTAATGGCACTGCTTGCCAACTAATTAGCCATCCATCACTCAAATCAGTGATACTATTCTTGTGTCTGCTTTTCACAGCCTGCTCAGCCTGTTCTGAAGCTGTCATTAAGGATCTGGAATAAGCAGAGCTCCCTTCATTTTGGGACAACAGGAATGAGCATTTTGTGCTTCAGCACCAGGAATGGGGCTGGTCAGCACACTCCTGTGCACCCTGAGCTGGGAATTGCTGGCCCTGATGAATGGCACTGCCATTCCCCCTCCACCCCTCAATGCTGAGCTGATGCCTTGCCTTGACACCACCTGAAAATGAGCAACAGCTCTCAGCTAAATCCAGGGCTTCAGGGTCAAGGTAGATGGAATCTGGGAATCTGTGCCTTATTCCTTGGTAGCTCTTAGGAGCTGATAAGGTCTGATTTAGATACAGGGGGAGCTCGATTGTGCAAGGGTTGGTTGGCCCTGGCTGTGCAGATGAGATCATCTCCTGGCGTGCTGTGGTCCCACTCTGGAGGATCCCGTGCCGTGCCACAGCCAGGGTGCAGCCTTGCAGGAGGTCCCGTGGGTCTGTGTCCCACATGTGGGCCACCCTGGGTGTTTGGAGGAGCAGGAAAGCAGTGGTTGTTCCCATAAGGTCTTCGCTCCCATCCGTAATCTGGAGCAGGGAGATAAACACAATGTGAACTGATGGCTCCAGCCTTCCATGGAAATTTCCATGAGCCACTGATTCACTGGGTCGGGCTGCAGCTTATTTCATATGTTTTATAACTTCTCTCTGTAATTGGCTTTTTCATGATGTGCTCAAGGAAGGCTGGAGGACTGCGCTGGCGGGTGGGATTGTCCTTCAGCCTTCAACGTGTTTGGCCGTAGGATCTCTTAATTTTTTTGGAATGTTCTTAGATCAATGGAAAGCTTAGTCACTCCTGGCTTTGAAAACCTTTGGGGTCTCATTAAATGTGTGAGGCTTGAGGTCAGAGACACTACCTCATAGTTACTGGGTTGGTGACAACAATGGTGTCAAAGCCTTGGTTAAATGCAGGATGAGGAGCAGGAGCCCCGTGCTCGGCCCTGTGGCACAGGACAGCAGGCTCCTGCTCCCCCTTTCTCTGCTGCAGCTGCAGGAGCTGAGGAGCTTGGTCCCCAGGCCTCGATGTGGGGGTTCCCCTCTGTGCTGTCCCCCCAGTAGTTTTGGGCAGAAAACTGCACTTTTGAGCAGTCACTGCATTTTGTGTGGAACTGAGAAACCATCACTGGTAGAGAGAAAAGTCTATGTATGTATTTCTGTGGAATATACAAGTGCTCATTTGAAAAGCCCTTGAGGATGAAAAGAACTATACAAATTTATTCTAATTGGATGGGAACCAGAAGGCCAATGTTTGTGCAGTGTGGAGGTATTTATAGAACAATTATGCACCCAGATGCGAGGCAGAATCGATGGAACTCTCCTGTCTGCAGCAGGGGAAGGCAGTGGGTTCACCTTGTGCTCTGGGAGCAGGAGAAGGTGCTGCTGTTTGCATTTGCAGTGAAGGAAAAGCCAACAACTGCACTTCAGTCACGTCGCTCAGCCTGCCCCATGCCTGCCCTGCCAGGGGAGGATGTTATTCCAGCCATGACTGCTCAGAAATGCATCTGGATGGGTGATGCTGCAGGTGCAGGAAGGGGGTGAAGACCCGTGCTGCAGGCAGGAGAGGAATCACAGAATCATAGAAGGGCTCTCTTTGGTCAGCCAGCTGGATTTCCACAGTTTGCAGCACACTTTGTGTGTGTGGAGTTGGGCGCAGGGGCTGCCCCGTCCCCTGGAGCTGCAGCTGATTCTGCCCAAACGTGACCCACCTCGCAGGGTGTTAGCAGAGCTGGGCTTTTCTTCCTCGGAAGTAGGAAAGCCAATGGCACCAGTGATGTCCTGCCTCGGGAGGTTGGGCGTTTTTCCTCAGCCTTGTGATTTCTGTATTTCTTTACCATTCTCTTTACATTGGCCACTGGCCCTGCAGGGGACCCACCCCGTGGCCTTCCTGGCTGGGGAGGGCTGGAGCTCTGCTCTTAGCGTGAAGGTCGAGGGCGTTGGGGACCAGTTCCTTTGCTCTGAGTTGTCTTTCCAGGTAAGATTAACCAGAAGAAGGAAAACATCCCCCTTGGCCTCCCGGGCTGCCCGTGGGGTGTCTCAGTGCCGTTTCCAACGCAAACGTTGCGCAACGCGGAGACGCTGCTCGGTGTGTTCAGTGCAGCGAAACTCGGGAAGGAGTCGCTCTTGTCCAGACACAGACACAGGGAGGAACTGCTCTCTGTGAGTGCAGGCAGCAGCGCTGCAATGGCCACTTCACCCTGTTTCTTGGCTGTGTGAGAAAGAGCCCAGTTGAATGGTACATAGAGGCACTTCCCCTTCTTATCTTGTGCCCGTGAGAACCCTCCTCCTTTGTCCATTTGGTTCTAGAAAATAACCATGTTGATTTTGATTTCACCAAGGATGTACCTTCCAGCCCATGGGGTGATTTTTCAGAGCTGCAGTTGCTCACAGCTGGTGCTCAGTGCCCCAGTGATCCCTGTCCTGCTCCCAGCTCCCTGTGGTCATTTCACCAAGCCCATAACTCTGCATTGCCCAACTCTGCTCCCTGCAGACCCACGTGCTCTGCTCCACCCTCAGCTTCACAGGCACCTCAGCCTTCCTCCAGATGGGGGGCAGAGTTTGCTGTGTTTTACAGACCCTCGGAAACATTTGAATAATTGGATCTGGGGCCTGGCTAGCTTTGTCTCTTATCACAGGTATTTGTGTTGGCTTAGTGCAAACATGGGGATGTCATCTGTGCAATGAATTGCATTTCACAGCTGCCCTTATATCTCTCCAGAGTTTTGGGGATGGTGTCAGCCCTTCACAGTGGCACTGCTGTTGGGAAAGAGCCTTTTGCCCTCGTAAAACGGCACGTGTGGGATCCTGCAGTGGCTGAGATGGGGTCTGAGTCTTGGCCTGTCTGCTGTGATGGGAGGTCCCACCAGCCCTGGGAGAGCCCCGAGCCAGGGCACTACTTTAGTTAGAGCCAAGGGGACCTCTGAGCCAGGCTGTCCCCAGTGTGCCATGTGCTGATTCCACCCATTCCCTCCAAAATCCTCCTTCCCAGGGAAAACACAATGTCCAGGCTGCAGGGAGGCTGCTGTGGGGAGCTGTCACCAATAGCCAAGGACTTCCCCTGGCTGGCCTCCTCCCAACAGGCTGTGTTGGGCTGGAAAAGCCGCATTAGCCTTGAATGTCCCAGCTGCTCCAGGGAGGAGGGTGCGTGGTCAGCTCACGAGGAGCCTCCTGAGAAGGATTTCAACTCTCACTGACCTATCACTCGCTCTTAGGAAAGTCACCTCATTTCTGTGCATCAACTCCTCTCTGCCAGGGCAGGACTGCCTGGGACAGTGCTGGGAATAGGCAGAGGGAAATCTGGAGCCTCCCTCCTGGCTGGCAGCTCCCGGGCTCCTCACTTGGCTGCTCCCATCACCCTCACCTCAGCCATCCTGAAGCCTCACAGGTGCCTCTCCCACCGCCAGGTGTGCACAGCCTGGCCGTGCTCCCTGCGGGATCATCCAGCCTTTTCCCTGTTTGACCCCGTCCTCCTGCAGCTCCTGCCTCCAAAGGGCTGTCAGAAAGGCTCTAAAGTGCAGTGCCTGATGCAATCTCCAGTTTGCTTCTGTCTTGTCCAAATCTTGATTCATTGTCCAAATCCTCCAGGCCTTGCTGCTGGATTTTTGTCCAGGAGCCAAATATTTGCGCCTCCATTAACCCCTTCCTGGCCTCCCTTTGGAGCTGCTGTTGCAGCATGTGGGCATCCATGGCTTTGGGGGGGTCTTGGGCTCTGAAGCTGCAGCAATAACGTGCTGAGAGGCCCCAACCACTGCCAAGCTGGGAATGAAGATGTCTTTCTCCCAGCTTGACGTTTGTTAAGGACTTTAAAATATAATTGCCTAATAAAAATGGTGCGTGGGGGTTGGAGAAGAGTGCTGGCACTGGAGGAGGGGCTTTTCTCTCTGGGGAGGGGTAGGATCTGGACAGGGTCTTGGCTCAGGGTGATTCCAGTTGGGTAGTACCAGTCTAGTGTGTGTCTTGAGGGCCTCAGCAGCCTGACATTTTTAAAAAAAAAAGAAAGAAAAAAAAAAGGCATTTAACGTGGAAATCCCCAGAGGCGGAGATTAAAGTGAACAGGTGCTGGAAAAATGTTTCTGCATATTAGAACTTAATTAGATTTGAAAATGAATTCCAGATGGGCTAATTACGTGTGAGTTGTTGCAGGTTCTTTCTTGCAGGGGCAGGATTGTGTTTGGGAAGCTGATTCGGTCTGATTGGATTTGGTTCCTGACTCTTGCGGTATCGCCGAGATCTAGCAGCAGGTTAGCTTTGTGTCCTGTGATCTCCCCAAAAAGGCTCCATGTCTCCTCCTGCTCCTGTCAGAGCCAGAGAGATCTGAGGCCACGAGCCACCAGGCTCGTTGCTGAAATAACCACAGGGCCAACAACCTGTCATGTTCAAGGAGAGCAGATCCTTATCGGAATTGCTTTTAAAAGGAGCTTCAAAGGCTAGAAGGTAGAATTTTTTTATTTTAGTTTTGTTACAAAGGGAACGGTTCCTGGGGCCAGAGGATGCCTGGGGAGGGGGCTCAGGAAGGGGGGCTGTTGCCTGCAGGGGAGCAGCGTGCTGGAGCCTGCTGGGGTGATGTCCGTCTGGGAGCACCGGGAGTGCTGAGCGTGAGAGCTCTGCTGTGTAAACACCAGGGCAACCCAGACAGGCTGGTAGTGCAGAGTGTTATGCTTTGTGCTCCAGGAGGAACCATGGCTTGGGAGAGGAGGCTGGCAGCCCTGGGCAGCTCGTCCTGAGGCTGCCTCAGCCCAGGGAATGCTGCTGAAACCCCTCCGGGGGTCATGGCCTCTCACCGAGGTCCCCCAAAGCCACCGAGGGGTCAGGGTGATGGTGCCACTGGTGTGTGGTGGCTCTGGATCTGCCTCCAGCCACTGGGAGTGCTGAGAGCTCTGGGAATGTAAACTTCAGTGTAAGGTCCCTGATTGGAAATTATGGGCGTGTGATTTATATGGGGCTCCATGAATGATTTATAACATGTTAAGTGATGATTTAGGTAGAAAACACAACCCCCTCTTACAGAATCTTTAATGAAAAGTGTCAGTTCTCATGAATTTATTCCTGAAGCTGTGTTTGAACTCGGCGTGTTTGACATAAATCAAGTCTAATTGTCATTTCATGATTAATGAACATATGCTGGCCGTTTTTCTCCATAATTAAACTTTATGTTCAATTCGTCTGGCAAAGCAAAACAAGTTGATGCGTTGTGAGACGCGGCTCTGCAGGTCGGGGGATGAGGAAGGGCCTGGGTTCCCAATGCCCAGGGAAGAGCTGGATCAGAGACTTGTGGCCAGTTTTGCAGTAAGTCAGGTTTGCTTGGCGAGGAAGCAGATGCAGCATTTGTTGTCCCTCCCTTTTCAGACAGTCCCTGCTCCTTAAATGGCATTTACACTTCTTAGATGGTGCCAGGATCCTCTCTGGTGGTGATGACTGAGGCAAACAAGACCAAGGTGGTTTGTGACCGTATGATATCTTGGCTCACAAGGGAATCAAGGGCCTGGAGTGTGGACTTACTGAGATCTCCAGCCCCTGAGGAGCTGCTGGGAACTGGGCAGCTCTGCAGCACCCAGCCACGCACCAGCAGGTTCTTTTCCACACCCTCAGTGATCTGCCAGAGCTGAGGATCCCCGTGCCCCTGCCTGGGTGTCTCCAGGGCAGGATCCCTTAGGCTTCACACTGCTTCCAGACTGAGGAAAAATAAGACTCTTCTTCTTTCAGGACATAGACAAGTTTGGCAACGAGATCACGCAGCTGGCTCGCCCGCTCCCGGTTGAGTACCTCATCATCGACGTAAGTGCTCCTTGCTCTTGGCTTCTTGCAGCAGGAGATGGTCTGGGCGGAGTGAGGTTCTTAACCCACCTCTCAGATTTGCCCTGGAGGTGATTGACAGGACAGATTTTTCTTCCTTTCTCCCCTCCCCTGCCAGGCATTTCTAGCGGGGTGGCTGCTGCCCTCCTGGGGATGGGTGCGGTGCCAGGGAACCCGGGAGGTGCTGCCTGGTGCCGTATCACAGCTCCCAGCTGCAGGGCAGCAGCCAGCCCCACGGATACGTGTGCCGGGCACCACCTCACAGGCAGCTAATTAGCGAGCTCCAGTTGTCTGTCTCTTAGCAGCAATTAAGAATCCAGCTCCTTTCAGTGACTCAGCAGCCTAGGTTGTACAGAAATGCCTTTTCCTGGGGGAGGGAGCTGAGGCTCCAGCACAGCTTGGCTTGGCTGGGCTGTGCCTGCCCGTGAGCCAGCGCTGCCAGGCACCAGGGCACAGCTCTGCCCTCTGGCAGGAAACTGTGACGGTGTGGCAGGCAGGAGAGCAAATAATTTGGATGACAGATGATATTGCTGGAGTTAGAGATGGTGCCAACAACGATTAAATCCACCCGGAGCAACTGGTCTGGTCCAGCTGCCCCTGGCACAGGCAGTGTCCCGCGGGCATGGGGGAGCTGGCAGCCAGGAGGCTTCCACTGCCTTGTCCTTCTTCCCCCTTCACTATCTGCTCTGTCTGTCACTTATCAGATGCTGGGACGTGTGACAGAGCCACATCATGTCTGGGACAAGGGGCCCATTGTGTGGGGCCCTCAGACACCCCATGCCAGTCAGCAGCTCTGCAGCATATTTATTACTCAAGGAGTAAAGGCATCTGTTTCTGGGCTACCTGGGGTGTAATTAAGATGAAAACAGATTGATGGAACATGCACTCAGGAGCAGTCTGTAAAGCTGCATTTCTGAAGCATCTTGTTTTGTCCCTCTTTAGAAAAAAAAAAAAAAGGTTATCCCAGTCAATACTGGCAGGTCTTTCTGCATCTCTGCTGACAAAGGGCCTTACCAATAGGGCCCAGCAGTCAGTGCCTGACACCAAAGCTGGGAGTCAGGACTAGTTTAAATGCCAGCAGGTGGCCCAGGGACCAGCTTGTGAGCTGCATAAGGTGGTGCAGGGCTGTGTTACCCCATTCCCCTGGCTCGGGGTGCAGGGAGGGGGCAGTGTTAGTGCACCCAGAGCACAGGGTGACTTTGTTCCATAAAGGGCAAAGGTATTTTCTTGGCACCTGAGCAGTGCCCTGGCTACCCCATGGCCAGACGTGGGGGCCACGCTCTCCCCACCCACCCCTGGGTGTTAAGGTGACCCCCAGGGTGACATCCCTGGGAGCTGCTGCATCCTGATGACCGTGGAGACAGGGCTGCTGTGCTCCAGCTTTGTTAGAAGCCATTCCCAGGAGCCAAGGTGTGCTGATGGGAATGTCTGTGTCAATGCCAGCAGCCCTCAGACCTGCTCTGGTCTCCCTCCCTGGCCGAGCTCTAACCTGCAGCCATGGCTGCTCTCGGGGGCTTTGCTTCCCCTTTCCCACTTGCCTCTCCTGCTGCCAGCAGCTCTGATCGGCCTTTCTTGGATCTTTAGATTACTACGACTTTCCCCAAGGATCCAGTCTACACGTTTTCTATTTCTCAAAATCCATTCCCCATCGAGAACCGCGACGTGCTGGGAGAGACTCAGGTAAGGAGCCCACCAGCCTCAGCTCAGCATTCCCAGGGGCTGGGATCTGCTCGGTGGGCACCGGGAGTGATCAGGTGCTTGGAACTCGTGTGGGCCCAAAGATGCTTTTCTTTGGAAGTTGCTGGCTGCAGCATGGCCAGCCAGCCTGGGAGGGTCTCTGCACACCACAGCCAATGCCCAAAAGAGATGGGAATGTTGTGGGGTCTGTTGGTGGGTCTGAATAAGGAAAATAAATTTATCATGAAGGGGGAAGTGACTTCTCTTTATTATTTTCCCCTCTCTGCAGGACTTCCACAGCTTGGCCACGTACCTGTCCCAAAATACTTCCTCTGTTTTCCTAGACATCATTTCCGATTTCCACCTGCTCCTCTTCCTGGTCACAAACGAGGTCATGCCTCTGCGGGTATGTGATGGGGAGGAAGGGGAGCTCCTGGTGGGGTGGGGGTGACTGACCCAGGCTGCTGCCCCCAGCATGTCCCCTAGCTGGCTGTGGTGCAGGGCGGGCTGTGCAGCTGGCCCCAGGGCCGCTTCTTCCAGGCTGAGCTGTTGGGAAAAGGTTTAAAAAGTGAAACCCAAGCCCCCTGGCTAGAGCAGGAGCTCCCAACACGCTGCTTGGAGCAGTGAGGGGGGGTGGTCAGACACGGCCAACTTGGCTGCGGCGCCAGAGCTGGGAAACATTTTGTAGAATATCTGAGAACCAGAAATTCCTGTTGTAACGATAAGGAGCTCAGAGCCCCCAGGCCTCGGCGACCCCTTCGTGGCCGTGCAGCTCTTGGCCGGGCACGGGGGCTTGGCAGCTGCTGGTTCCCATCTGCCGGGGCCAGCGGGAGGGCCGCGTGTTTGGGGGAGGCTG